AACCTTATATATATATATATATATATATATATATATATATATAAAATAAAATATAGGCATATATATAATGATATAATAGAGATAAACTCTAAAATTTCTATGCAGATTTCTTAACCAACAGAGCCATTGAATTTCTTAAAACAACTAATTTTTCGCACTCTTGCGCACGCGTAGTTTGACAGCACTAGTCCTTGATGCATGACAAAGAACAGAGATCAATTGATACGCCTCTTCTTATAAGATATATACCGCATATATATAGGCCTATATATAGGCCTATATAATACATATAAAATACACAAAGCTGCAATTCAGCAACGAAAACTAAATCGTTTTGAATCAAATGAGCAAATATTATAATTAAATTTTAGGTTTTACCACATGTCTCCAAAATATCTTAAATGGTTGAATTGTTAGCTTTCAAACACGCAATATATATTTAAGATCAGTATGGGTTAATAATAATGCTTGTCACATGTGGTATATTCAACACTAATGACTTAGTTTAACAACACGTTGTGCGCAAATAAATAGTCATCGAGATGCAAATTGCGCCAATTATTGACAAAAGTTGAAGTAATCCCAAAGATAAGTGTCCGCTAAGTAACTAAGTTCTCTATTAGGAATACGCACATTAAGAGGCAGGTCTTTATTCGTCTTGGTGCGCTTAAGAGCGATTTCTGTCCTGATTTTGACAACGCTAATCATAGGATGGCGATAACTGAAACTATTTAACAGCAACAAAATATGTAATGTCTTCTAATTGAGTTAAGCCGATTGGTTCGAGCCTGTCGCCTCGAAGATCAGTGTAGCGATGTAAAGGAGGGGACGTATGAAATAAATAAATAAATAAATGGTGGGCTAGTATTTAAAAGTAGGCCTATTTAATGAAGTGACGCATTGTATTAATAATTTAAAATTTTAAAATTTTAAAATAATAACAATAAATATAAAAATAACAACGACAATAAATGTGTAAGTATAATAACAATACAAAAAATAATATTAATAAGGCCTGCATAATTATAATAATGAAAATAATAATAAGGTCTAGGCCTATAGTAGTAAAAACACTAATAACAATAATAATTATGTTGATGGTAATAATAATAATAATATGCTTTAATATTAAAAAGTGTTTATTGATGATAATAGTCATTATCAATAATAATAGTGATACGCCTAATAATAAATTATAATAATGCTGAATAATACAAGTTAGTTACAATTATTACATGGTGATGATTAATGTATTTTATAAAAATAATAAAACACACGAGTTTGTGCACTGATACATTAGGCCTATATGGAATCACGTGCAATTAAAATTAAAATTACAAATTTTAATCGAATGCATTGCCTTATCTTTATAATGATTATTTAGGCAAATTATGTACATATCCTTATATCTATAATAATTATCTGACGATTCTAAATTTTCAATTATAATGAACCACAGAACTTATTTTGAAAATATTTAAATTAGCGACGAAGCATCAGCCAAAAATTTCAGATAAAAACCCAAGGGATATAATAACGCCTTTATATTTGTTACGATTCGGAGAAGAAATTAAATTCCTTGAATAATCCGAATGACTTTGAAATAAATGCACAGAATATGAATCAAGATCAGGAAGAAAACCTATCAAATAAATAGTGATTATAAAGTTCAGTCTGTTTCTACACGATATATCTGATAATGGCGCATGACCAGACGTTTTTATAAATCTTTCTGGTGCTAGACTTGCTGTTACAATTCAACTCGCATTCCTGGAGTTTTTCTTACTATTTATTTCCCTTAATGCTACTATCAGATCTCCGGAAAGGGATTAAAATTCCCCGTTACTGCAATAAAACACGCGCTATGAAATATAACTAACACAAAATTAAAGTTTATACTGCACAAATATCGATGTGTTATATGGATAAATCTACTGCATACGATACACATGTACGGGTATAATTTATGTATTTGAGAAATATTTACGTTTGAGAAATAAAATAACACGGGGGGAAGATTATTTTAAAATTATCGAGCACAAACTGCATACCATGCATAATCGTTTCCTCTTATATATGGTGATATGTACAAACTATGTTGTTAAAAAGAATGAATAGATATAATATATACGTTGTTAGGTATGTATTAAGATTGGATATACACCTCAAATTGACCGAATATGATGATAAGATAATTATAGAAGAAGACAGGGATCTAGAATTTTATGATTTATCAATGTCCGTAGGCGATACTTTTTGTGATTCATTTTTCAAACGTAATTATAGAATTATTACAAACAGAAAACTAGAAGAAAATAAATTGGCAATTTATTAAGTTTGAATCACGGGTAATTTTGTGGATTCATACAATTTGCAATACAGTAATTGGCTTCTCTTCTGAGAGAATCTTCATCATAATAATTGCGTTTATGTCATTTTACTTCGATATGAATTTGCCACGATTTATACCCTATTACTATTGTATAATACAGTAGACCTTTTTGAGATCGATGGCAGACGTTGTGCCCCCGAACGTCAATTACCAATGACGTCAGCCTGTTGCCGACTCCATTTTACCAATTGTAAAATCCGAACACGAGGTTTTGAGTACAAATCATGAAACAACATTTGTTTCAAATCTTTCAACTCTATCCAACTCTCGTTGGTATCATAGCTCCAGTCAGGTTATTTACGCACTCCTTCCAATATAATTAATAACAATGCTTCATTCGTTTTATGTTAGATTTGTATGATAATAAATAAAATCAGATTGGCTTATAATAACGTTATTATATTTAGTGAATTACTTTCATTGTAGTTTTTGACAAACGAATTTGGTTCTGATTTTGATATGGGGCGAGTGTATATTACTGAAACTACAAGGATCGAAGTTGTACTAAGCCTGTATTGTGTTAACATGCACAATAAGAATATCTGTAAAAATATGTCACAAATAATACTAGCCTGTAATACATAAGGTGTAAAATTAATAATAATACCTTATTAAATGACAATCATGGTTATGATTTTATTAACAGTATTATTATAGTGATATAATGCCAATAATAATAATAATAATAATAATAGTAATAATAATAGTAATAACAATACTGATGATGATGATAATAATAATAATAATAATAATAATAGTAATAATAATAATATTGGTAAATACTTTAATTACTTTCATTGTAGTTTTTGACAAACGAATTTGGTTCTGATTTTGATCTTGGCGAGTGTATATTACTGACACTATAAGCGATCAAAGTTGTACTAATCCTGTATTATGTTAACGTGCACAATAAGAATATCTGTAAAAATATGTCACAAATAATACTAGCCTGTAATACAGAAGGTGTAAAATTAATAATAATACAGTATTAAATGATAATCATGTTTATGATTTTATTAAGAATAATATTATAGCAATATAATGCCAATAATAATAATAATAATAATAAGCCTGATGATAATAATAATAATAATAATAATAATAATAATAATAATAATAATAATAATAATGATAATAATAATAATGGTAAATACTGATAACGATACTGATGATGGTAATAATAATAATAATAATAATAATTATTATTATTATTATTATTATTATTGTAAAACTAATCTAATAAATAATTGATAACAATGAAAATGATGATGACGATGATGATAATAATAATAATAATAATAATAATAATAATGATTAATAAATTAAAGAAACAATAATACATTAAATGACAAATTCACTAATATTTCGTTTACTGTTTCAGTATTTATTTATTTGTTTGTTTTCATCGAAAGAAAAGTAAAATGCCACCCCGCACTTAATATTTTTATACAAGGTTGCTTTATAAGCATGGTAGGTATAAACGTGCAACTTGGGACTCGTTCCTTGTGAAATAAACAGTTTTAATGAGTCGCTAGTTGAACAATCAGTTTTTACTTGATTTTAGATTCATCGATTGGTGATTTCTAACAAAAAACTTTAGTGACGATTCACTGAAATTTAACGAATGCGTTGGTTTTATTAAATAAATAATGTTTTTTTTAAAGAAATATTGTAAAACAATATTTTATTTAGTACCTGCTATCACAAACTCATTTGTGTAGTATTTGTTGTTGTTATTATTGATTTAAAAAAAACAACAACGATATGCTTATTGAAAGAATGTGCTTACATAAAAATATACTGTCTGTCGTAATAACTGTAAACATATAGCATATGAATTGCACATTTGAAACGATCAATTAAAGTAATAAATATTAGTGTGACATATATTATTTTCAAATAATTAAGTTTTAGCTGATTTAAAACGTTAAATTATTAGCAGCCAATAAAGTACCGAGACGATGACGTCAGGGATCTAGGCCCAGTGACGTCGCATTTCAGCCCTCAGTTTAAAGGTTATAACAAAATAGTATTATTTATGCGTCGGTAAATTAATGAGGAAATTATTTTTTCGTTATAATTTTTATTTAAATACGAATGCATTATCTAAATGATAATAATAATATGAAAATAAATGATATAGATAAATAATAAGAATTAATAATAATAAAAATATAATTATTATAAAACACTTATTTATCATAACGTCGTAATCAATATTATTATTATTATCATTAGGCCTAGTATTGAGCGCAGACAGTATATTTTATGTATATCTGTTATCACAAAATCTGTTGACAACGTTTCTAGATTTTGAACAAAAAAATTGAGCTTAAAAAATACAGGGTGTTAAATTATGCTTAATTACAAAGTTATAATTTATGAAAAATACAAGATATAAATAATCCATGTATTTCCCGCTCCCATGTTTATTATCATTAAAATATGCATACGTTGATATCGCAATTAAATCACTACTTGGCTAATATAATTTGTCTAACTAAACATATTTCACTACACACACGCAAGAGTCGGCATTTGACAACTTCCAACTATATTATACCTGTTAAATATATACATGATTTTTTTTTTATTATTTACAACAAGAACATCGACATAATATACATGTTGTATATACGAGTATAGTTTAATTGTTTGCACACATAAACGATATCTGTAACCGTACACATCACTTCACTCATCATTTAAGATCGGATTTTCCACCTAATATCCTTTTAAATACACAGTTTAGTCACACACGTATGCCAGGGTCCAATATATGCCTACAACGGTTGGAGTTTGTTTTTTTTTTTTGTTTTTTTTTTACAGAAAGAATACGCCAGAATTATTTGTAAAATTCCGGATTATTGTCAAGTATCAATATTCTTGAAAACATAAATCAAGAAACGCCATCCATAATTTCTAATGTCTTATTGAAAGTTTTGTTTTGTCTAGGACACGCGCCTCTTAGTGTCATTAACACTGTTAATGTCATCTGGAAATATGTAATGGAAAACGGATATGCATTTTTTTCATTACACAAATACAGATTCTCCGATCTGAAGTATGGAATTTTGCTGTGCACTACAATAAAAGATTACGATAATGTTAAAGATCCAATTTATCTTACAATAAGAACCAACTTAATGTTCTTCTAGAGAAGCTGCGTACTTAAGCTTATCGAAGCAACGCAGTGATAAGTATGACATGTTTCATATTTACCATTACATAAGGAATTGTTTATCATAGTGAACGTCATCCACGCGATTTTTGATGTGCACATCCATGCTTCTATTGACGCGCAAATCAGAGATTAAAAGTGTAGGCCTACTTTGGTATAATTCAAGAGATATAACAACAACAAAAATCCAAAAGGATCATAAAAACAATTTTATAAAGAAACTTATTATATTTTTCATCTACTGAAAATAAAATCATAGTACGATAAACGCACAAAACTAAATAGTAGGCCTATGTTACGCGCAATTTTGAGGACCTGCAAAAATTGGCATACGTATAGGTTAAACGTACATGTTTGATAACTCCGCTGATATTTTGATATCAACAGTGATAAAACGTATGATTGCAGATTGTTACTTAAGCTATTTAATTTACGACACAGACTGCAGTTATTTAAGTTGTAAAAAATAAAAAATATTTAGAGTATATTTGATTTTGTATTTCATAAAGGATAAGTTTAGACTATTTTAATTGCCCAAGATTATCTTGCAAAGTTTCGGAACTGCGCAATATTTTCAATTCAGGTGCAGATTCGAATTCTCATCAGAAGATACTTGTGCAGTGTTTCGACTGCGCAAATCAAACAAACTTGGCACAATAGCTACAAAAGAAATTATACGGTATGAGCTGTAGCTGTAGATAATTTAAATTTGTCACAATTGTTTGATCAATACCGGCTCACTCATATTCCCATTGTTATTTTTCATTAAGAAAGTTAATGGTTTGTGAGGGCGTCATTTAGTTATGTGCGCATGGGCGACTATCGATAGATAGATAAAATCATGGAGGAATTAGTCTAAACTAATTCCTCCATGATATGAGTCAACATTGTGCGGAGAGTAAATTCAAAATATGACCGATATAAATACCGACTCAATATCTAACTAGTGATTATTATGCGAGTCAAAAATAAAATTAATACGATATTGTAGAAAAAATATGAAACTGTCCCAAGATATGACGTCACACTAGCGCGTATCATCAATACATTCTACCTTTTGATAGAGAATTTATAGGATGGTAAAGTTAGCTGAATTTAATAAACACGTGCATAGAGTAACTGCTTTTAGTGAATAGCGCAGTTAATATCAAAGTCTACTATGCACGATGGTCGTCCTTCTGCTACCCGGTGGAATACCGTATTCCATACATTCATGTATTTTAGAACAGATTAAAGGTCCTTAACCAATGGATCTTTCCTCTAAGCCCCGCCCATTGGATATTGTTGCTAAAGGTTTCTCACAACAAGTACATTTGTGGGACATGTGCGTAATCCTTGTCCTGTTCTGATTGGCCAGCTGGCAGTTTGATTGGCACTCCGAAAAGGTCCGTTATACTCATGGACGCAAGCAATGTGACCCAGTGTATCGGTCTCGAGCTTGTCTATTCGGTTGGAAGGCTAAGGCATTCTGCTGCGCCGGCCACTCATTTAATAGGAGTATTTATAGTGAGCCAACCAAAAATATGACGTCAGATTGTGAGACAGACGCCTTATGGCTTTTAATCAGTGCGCTCATCATCTTATGGTAGGATGGTAGGCCTATTGTAGGTACTTAATCAATTCAGCCCAGGCCCCATATTCAAGCGATATGCGCCTTCATTGCATTTCAAGTAATTAATTTAATATATTCTCTCAACGCATACCCTATTCCGTGCACTCAAGTTGCTTACAGTAAGATTGTGCATAGCTCGTAAAAAAATAATAACATGTGACGTCATCGAATAAACTAAAGTCCCTACCATAGATCTTGATTTGTTTTTCTTACATTTGAAAAAAATATCCAATAATGATAGTCCATATCTGCATCGCTAACAGCTCTAATATCAGAGTCCGTTGAGAAAACAATTCACAATTCATTTTGGCACGTTACATGCCATATGCGTGTAAATAAGGTGAATTGTTTCTTTGAGCAAAATAATTATCGGAATGTGGTTAAATGGTTACATTTTTCGAGTGGATTATCTGTAAACAACACGTACTGTTAGTTACCGACATCACAGTACAAATTCAGATGCTCCCCTCTCTATAGCGACCGACGCCTCTACCCCCTCCGCCGGCGTTCTCCTTCTCGATACAGTGTCTACTTTGTTTATTGAAAATATAACAGTTTTTTTTTACATTCATCAGTTGAGACTCTCTGAGTCTGATTTTTCCTCATCCTCGTTGCTTTCAACTCTGATTCTTTTGGCGGGAATGTCAGGCTCGTTTCTGTCCAACTCCCTGTCGTTTGGTAAACTTGCTTTAGCTGCGACTAAATCCTGTGTTTCTGAATCTTGTCGTCGCTTAGCGGAGGCCATCTCTGCCGCATGTTTCTTGCGCCACTTGGTTCGTCTGTTTTGAAACCAGACCTAAAAAAAAAAACAAATATTAGCTTTGTAAGTATAAAGAAGTAAACTGTAAGAAAATAGTATCATTTGAGACAGAAAATCACATAAAATAAAATACTCCAATAAAGCGTCAAATTGGTTTATTTCGTTTGATATGCGCTTCTATTGCCAGTGTGTTACTTGCGACACGTTTCATTTAATAGTAGGCTAAGCTGAAAAAATGTATTGCCACTGAAAAATAATTATGCCTTTATGCAATAATGGGCACTCTTGTATAGAAGCGTTACTTATACACCAGTCAACGCAACTTTGCTAAATATGTCCACATCGGAGACATTTCTAACAATGTATATAAACATGTACATGTATACGGTACATATAAACTAACAGTGTACTGTTAAAACAATTATTATTTTTGCCTCAGAACGTTGACATCAATTCCATGTAAAAAACTACATACCATAGAAGGCACTAGTTGCGCAGAAGAACACGAATTGGACCGTGGTGTTATTAAACACTGGTCAGACAGCAATGTGCGTAATTGCCAAGCAAATTAAAGAGTTCTAAGTTACATATCTGATAATTTATTGGTTGAATAACGCAATAATTGTGACAAAAATGACTTGAATACTTGAGTAATAATGGTATAATGAGTATTTCACGTGTCTCATTTAATGCGCGTTGCCAGGATACGCTATCGAGAAATCATGTTCCACGGTAATTAATGTGTGTAACCCCTTGAATATCGCGTGCGCTTTATATCGTGTTATCGTTGATGTTAGGCGTTCGGCAAATAGTACTTTCAATTATATACTGTTGTAAGTGTTAACCTGTACATTGAATCGTTTGAAATGCCGATATACGATTTACTGGCGAGTAATTAATAAAGCGTATAATAACTCCATCTTGGTGATTATTGGAAATGTGGTTGCTAGGAAAACGACTGTAAGACACGTTTTGAATAAAGTAATAACGCCACAGTACCGACACGTTGTCGAGGAGCAGCTCATCAATCGTCTCGTCAACGTGTCAGACTTTTATTCTTGGAAATAGACATAATCAACTTTTGTTAATAATTCATTTAACCAAATGCATAAAATAAAAGGGAAGGCCTATCATTTAAATATGAGCAATTAGAGCCCTCATGGCGACACATGCTTAGGAATCAGCCGGTCGGTCGAACTGTTGATATTAAAAACTAGTAATCTATACCCGTTTATTCTAATGTTGTATTACTTGAATTAATTGTAATGCATCAATTAATAGTTATAATTGAAATGACCATACTATAAGTAAAAATTATTTATTAAATTATTATTATTATTATTATTATTATTATTATTATTATTATCATTATTATTATTATTATTATTATTATTATTATTGTCTAGTATTATTATTATTATTATTATTATCATTATTATTATGCCTATTATTATTATTATCATTATTAAAATTCACGAGGCCTATTTGTTGTTAATTGAAAACTTAAGCGCTTATAAACTATAGTTAAGTTGTATACTGTTGTTTAATATATTTACAAGCTAAGCTTATGTTTGATCACCCGGACTATTCCAAACTCAACACTAATGAATCATTATGTAAACATAATAATTTGCTAATTAATCAATGGTTTTAAAGTGCAAACATAAACCGTAGTAACTGTACGCAGTATTTTAGTTCCATACCGCGGGATATTAATCAGTACATTTCTGAAGTAATCGTAATCTCGTATCTCAATCGTGTTGACTTCCTCTTCGCTTACTCTTGATTTTATTTATTCATTCCTTCAACACGTTCGAGTTATTTACATGCCATGTCAACAATCAGAACCAGAAATTGACAAATTGAGTTATTACAAGATTTACATGGCATGAAAAGGGGATCACTCTCACTTAGCCATAATCTCTAAATATAATACAAAACATTACGTTGTCTAGCCCTATATGCTATTATTTAATGCCCAGTATATATCGCTTAATTCGGCAGTCTTTTAAATATAATTAAAGACCGCAAACACGCAGAAAACTACAAGTCACTCTGTCTCGGTTAGCATATGTTTTAGCATGTTTTTCATTGAAAATATCCGATTATTGTTCGTATATATCTCATAAAATATTCGATAGAAGTTAACTGTTGTGCATGTTTGGCGACTAAACGCAATTACAGCCCACTTAAGCCACATCGGTGTCTTATTTGAGCAGAATTAATTGCAATGTATGATATACACATCGACGTTGTGGAAACATAGCTGACGAAATCATTGTTTAAAAGCCACCGATATTAGCGCATAAATAGGCGTTAGTTTGTTTGAATTGAACAACACACTAAAATGATACAATATCATAAGCAGTTATATGCCATTATTACTACTCAGAAGGACTCGGTTTGTAAAGTGTTGTGGATTAAGATATAGGCGTTTGAGAAGATCGTTCGCCACATATAAACTTAATGTTCCACTAATCGCAATACTTTTTAAAGAAATCGTTGTCTTAAGTTTCTTTGAAGTGACACCGTTAACTTCGGGTCCCACGGGTCAGTTAATACCATAGTTTTGAAAACTCCGGTAAGTTGGTTTGATAAATTTTATCATCGTCGTTTTAGCGAGAAGTTTATGCATTCTTTACGGCCCAGAAGCTGCTTGAAATCGTTTATCATACGTTTGAAGAACACCGCAAGTAATGTCTCAAATGCGCTTAGCTTCATTTACAGTTGACGTATTTATGATAATAATGATACTAATAAAATAAAATACTCTACTGCTATTCATTACTAACGTCGTCAAATTTTCAAACTTGGTCTAAAATGATGACTGCAACGAATAGTCTGGTGCTACTATTACTACTGATGCTGCTACTGCTGCTTCTACCAGTACCCACCACTACAATTGCTGCTACACTACCACCATACTACTAATATAATTGTTGCTATTATTACTACTGTACTATGGAGAAGATTTTTATATATAGCGCACATCCATTTAAAAAATGAGCGCTTTGAAAAAGCATAACATGCAGATGATGAACATGAAATTCAGTCAACCCCAGTCAAATAAGACTCAAAAGAGAGGGAGGGAGGGAGAGAGAGAACAAACAAATAGAACAAAAATATGAAAGAGGAATCTAGCCATTATACTGTTTTACTATTAGGATTATTTTTTTTTTAATCCGCTATTCATAATTAAACTATTATTTACCTCAATTGGTGTTTTAAAATAGTACCACAAAGTGAAACAAACATGTGGTTAATATATAGTGTGTTATTTTCATTAGGTACAAAAGGGTAATTAATCTAATTTAAACAAATAGTTATTATTTACATTTAATAATGTGAATTTTGAACAACAACTCAGTTTCCCAAATGCAATTCTCCTTAACATATCCTTTTGATTCATTTACAATCAAAACAATTTTCCACTTGTCAACCCAACCAATTATTATGCAGTTAACATATGATAAAAAGCTTTCAATTGAATTGGAAATAATCATTTTCAAGTAGACAACATCACGACCGGAAATCGGTATTTAAATTGCTCGACAAAAACAAATCAAATTCGATTTGCATTAATACGGGCGAAAAACACCGATAACGTTCACGCCCCGACGAAATCAAAAGTGTTGAAAACACTCTACCAGGTGTTACACTGACGCGTTTCACACCTGTGGAAAGCGTTTCTATCATCAAGGGACAATCGAAATGTCGTCTGGTCTAATATTACCGCGTAGTTGCAGGCTGAGATTACTATATTTAAAGCACGAATAACCCATAAGGTAAATTGAACAGAATGAAACAAACTTTGACAAAATAGTGCGCTTAAAGGTGACTCGCACAGGTGCGCGTAATTAGTAAATAGTTAGCCAGCGCGCCTTTAGGCTTCTATACGCGCTGTATTACAACCAATCACTGGGGTAACTATTTGTATGTTTGCTATATTGCTATAAATTTTATAAATTTTATTATTATAAATGTTATTATTATTATTATTATTATTATTATTATTATTATTATTATTATTATTATTATTATTATTATTATTATTATTATTATTATTATTATCATAATTTAATAATTTGTTAATATTACTTAATTTGATTCCATTGCCCTTGTTATTTATTTACCTTTCTGAAGAATTTTATATTGTATTTTTTCGTTGTGTGAAATAAAATAAAATGAATGAATGAATGAATGTAAATTGAGTTCTCCACATCATAGTTGCGGGTAATTCTACTAATAATCAGCGATTGCGTTTTTTTTTTTTGTATAGCCAAGCGCTGCATCAGAGCCAGACAACTGTATACTTTTCGTTTCAAGTACAGTAGCAGGGATAAATACGGACCCAAAATGAATAATGACGATTATATAAACCAAGACAGCCACCATATATGCTAAGTTGATTTGCCCTTTTGAACTTTTGTTAGGATGATTTTGTCTATAGGATATCGGGAAGGTGTTGAAAAAAAAACTTGGACTTGGAGCAAACACACCCTGCTCAGGGGTCTACACATTGTGGAACTAAACGATCTATTAATACCTCAATTAACTAGATTCTGAACGGAATGCAAATATGTTAGATTTCCTGCTTTATAAAATTCCTATTTACGTGGCATTATGGAAAAGTTATTAAAATTACCACGAAATACGCTGATTTTTTAAAATGACAAACTCTTAAAGCGCCCCCTATGTCTGCATCGTCGACTAAAATATAAATGACCTTTTTATATCTACAACGATGTTGTAAAATTTTTCTATTCGGGTAAAATATTTACCACATAGGGTGATCTTTGCTGGTTTACTCATATAATATAAATCATTCGTTATAAAATCTTCAATAAACAGCACAAATCCTCAATCGAAAATCATTCTTTTAAGCTCTCAATAGTCGATGATCCGTTAAAATCCTCGTACCAGATCTAGAAAACTTACATTAGTATAGAAAGTCATCTATTGCGAAGCTAAAGTAGTAATAAAGAATACAACAACGAGAGAATAAATGCCCAAAAGTACCAAGGAACTGCCTAAGTCTAACTATTTTTCCAAAGAAGAATTATGGATAAAATCCATGCAACGAGAACTACAAATGTTGTCAAAGGCCCCTGGGTACCTTTACTCTGTACTTTACATTGCGAATGATCGCTTAAGTACGCAGGTGTTGGCGCCGAAGGGCTGGAAGACGGTTTTAACCGTCTGCTAGCCAGGTTACTCGGCCACATTCTCAAGCACCATGCCAAGTGACAAACACTGAGCAGATGAACTCAACCCGCAAGTTACGTCATGTGTTCGCGGAAAATTATATCAGACACTGCTAGCATTCGAGGGGATATTAGTAACATTACGATTGCGTCATATATTTTAAAGTGTTAACCCTCATTCCGTCAACACACTTTACTCCACAAATTGAGTGTGGTAGTAGCATAATAATGCTTGGGTATGCTGAATAATTAACAGTTTGTAAGATGAGATTTGACCGGTTTCATTTCAAGTCTTAAAACAGAAATTCTGTCACATTTGGTACAGGTTTATTCGAATTAGAGCGATAATTGGCAACAATAATTCCGCAATTGTTTTACAGTTTAATCAATCAGAAGATTTATTAACAAAGATATATCAACCACTCTGAGCAAAACAACTGTCAAATTCAAACACTAATCATTAACCAAAATCGAAGAAAATTTATTGTAATACGCTTCATTATTTAACAGAGGCTTTGCGGACTGACTAATTTTCAATAATGGTTCTTCGTCATCAAAAAAAAAAAAAAAAAAACCCTTTAAACTGCACAAACCCCAGAGTTTAGTTTACTTATTCGTTATTTCAAGGAATTTTATGTAGGCTGTGGTTGATGCAATACGGTGGCAATCGATTGAATCATATTATAACGATTTTTTGAGATATCACGGCTATGTTAATTGCAGTTATACTCGAATAGAATAATTTCATTCATTTTAATAAAATCAATTTGGTATACGATATATATAACGATAATAATTATAATAACAATAGCTATTATTATTGATATTAATAATAATATTATTATGCCTAGTACATAACAACATTATTAAGGATGAAATTTATTAATATTTGTTCGATTATTGTTTGTAACTTAGGCATATTTAAAGCGCTATGTGAGAATAATTTCATTTATTTTAACTCAATTAATTTGGCAAAACATCGATATATATATAACGATAATAATAATAATATTTATTATTAATAATAGGCCTATTATTAATATTACTATTAGGCGTATTACTTAAGCATTAATGATAAAATTGATAAATGGGCCTATTTGTGCGATTATCGCTTATAATTAATTAGGTTTATAATTTAAAACACTGTGTGACGAAATACCGATTATTAACTATATTCAATTACATAATATAATATAGGCCTAATGTTATAATATAAGATAATAGGCCTATGGTACGTAATAATTAAAAAGTACTGTAATATTATACTATATATATATTGCTTCATTTATAAAAAGTAATATATAGAAATATATTTATTAATGTTTGTATATATCATGTTTTACTTGTAATTTTGTTAATTTGCAACTTTGTGCATTTTTGGGGAGTAAACAAAGTAACATGAACAACAAGTTAATCATATGCTACGTTGATATGCACTTTCAAACTGGTTAGGATGATTTTAGCCACAGGGCATGAGTACAAACATAAAGAAGGTGTTGAAAAACCCTGCATTTTCACTTGGAGCCAACGCACCGTGCTGTAAACCTATCATACTGTAGGCCTAGCGTATACATTAAGTGTAGGCCTATTCGTTGTGTATTATTGTTATATCGTTCATCGTAGATATATATTTATCGTTGTACATCGTACATGGTTATGTATCGCTATGTTAATATTATCACTGTATTCACGTGTATTGCTTAGTATCACCTTCCACAATTCTCGTAAAAATATTTCCGTCCACGAAACCTCAAAAGTTAATGCTTATAAAATCCAGCACGCCAAACGCTTGAATCAGCATTCCTATGATTAATCTTACAGTTGTCAAATTTATAACTTATAAAATCATTCGATAAAGTTGTTCAATAATCTGATTAATTTTTAAAAATTGTTTCAAATAGGTTAAGTCATCGAAGATTTACTGCTACAAGAATATTGATGTGATCACGTGCCAGAAATTAAAATGCTCTATTAACATACCTCACAAATATGTTATTTTTTATTTCTCCTTTACGGTATTTAATCCAAGTAATACGTTATTATGGCTGTTCAATTATCGTTGGAAAATGCAGCCGTATTTGTTAACGAGGTAAATCCTTTCCAAACGTTCATAATAATAATAAAAAATAGGCTGAAAAGCGAATTATTATTAAATACACAATTGATACACAATTTTGATTGTAACTTAGGCCTATTATTAATTTGTGCAATGTCAAAACATTAGCGTATGATTGTGAAAATTATATGGTTTGTTTAATTAAATAATATGGTGTTATTATTACTATTTCTATTATTATTAATTTTGATAATAATAATGAATAATTTTGTGTTGGGCCCTCGGCCCGTGGCTCCCTCTTGGATAGTATTGTCGAATTTGTAATACATAAATAGGCCTATATAAATTATAATAATAATGATGATAATAATAATAATAATAACGATAATAATAATAATGATAATGATAATAACAATGATGATGAGGATGATATTGATAATCGCTCACACACCATGAATTTTAAATAGAACGAAAGACGGTTGGATTAGTTGATTGATTATGATTGATTGATTGATTGATTGATTGATTGATTGATTGATTGATTGGTGGATGATTTATTGATTTAACTACCGTTTTAATCGATTTGTAAGTAATTTTATTTTCTTGTTGGTTGCCGAAAGCTTCCAAATAGCATTGTGCTCTTACCTTTACTTGACTTTCAGTCATCCCGAGCGCGTAGGCCAGCCGAGCTCTTTCAGGTCCTGCTAAATACTTAGTTTGCTCGAATGTCTTCTCTAGAGCAAATATCTGCTGTCCGGAAAATGTGGGGCGTGTATGCTTCTTTTTACCATCTTTATCTACTGTAATGCCCTGGCTTTGTGCCGCTGCTGCTAAATAGAAGAAATAGAATCATAGCTACCAAAGTGTTCGTTATGTATGATATATAGGCTTTATTTCGCAATTTAGTTCAGGGAATTAAGGCTTGGAGAATAACAATAATGCAGGTGACATTAATTAATATTATTACTGTAATTACTCACCCTGTTGTAATTATGATAAAATGTCTTTTATTTTATGATATTTTTATTTTATAATAGTTCGGATATACAAAAATTTCAAAACATTACATGAAAAAAAAAGCGAAAAATAAAAAGAATAGACCAACTGACATACCGTAGCCCAGGAGAGACCAAATAGCGCTTGCTAATAGTAAAGGCCTTCCCAACAACACAATCAAAACTCACATATATCGATGATGAAATTACAACATTTGAAGGAATTAGGAACATATGATGAATTTTGAAACAGGATAAAAGTTATGAAACATGTGATGATAATTTGTTTTAAAACATTGTGCGGAATCAGAATTAATTATGCATTATTATCATTATTAGAATGATTATAGTTATAACCATTATACATATTAATCATTATTACTTATCGTAATCATTATTAATTTTCATAGAGTACTTGGTATTCAGTGTACTTCCTTAAAGCACAGGGCCTCAGCTTAGCTGCTGTCAAAACCATAATTTATTTTTCTCGCCATTAAAAACAGCTAACTCTTCAAGCCTCTTATAATAATAATGAGATTATGAAGCATAGCTGAGCCTTGTGGGAGAGAGCTGTAGCATACAGAACAGTATTCTCAGTATAAATAACCACTATTTGAAATAATCACATTTTAATTTCATTAAATTGGCATAAATATAATTAGACTAGCCTACGATGGTGGTATATTAACAAAACGTTGATAAAAAGCATTGTGATTGATTGAGGTATTGCACTGTATTCGTCAAAATGTAGCTAATGCTTAAGCGGCGTATGTTACCGTGTGAAAATCACCAGGACATGCATTACCTAATTACTGGTACTAATCACCTCCACGTTAATTAATAGCACTTTGAGATGTCAATCAGCTCTCTAGGCTTTCAAGTGCCGATATCTGCTCATTTAGAATATATATGTATGTATACATATGCGATAATTGTAACCGTGGAGGTATGAAAGTAGATAGCGGATTTAATCTGGCACGCGACGATATAGAAATAAACATAATAAAAGATAATTAATGTAGGATTACAAAATGAACGATTTGGTCAATTCCAAAATGGTGTTAAACTATTGATACCTTATGTATTATAGTAATGTTGTTATTATCATTGTATACTATTACTACTACCACTACTACCACTACTACTACTACTACTACTACTACTACTGCTACTACTACTACTACTACTACTACTACTAATAATAATAATAATAATAATAATAATAACAATAATAATAATAATAATAATAACAATAATAATAATAATAATAATAATAATAATAATAATTAATAATAATAATAATAATAATAATAATAATAATTAATAATAATAATAATAATAATAGGCTAATAATAATATTTATCATTACTACTTATTATCATTATTTTTTTTTCTTTCTTTATTATAGAAGAGGCCCAGAGTGTGAAATTAGTTGCCTCCAATTGGGGTAGAATTTTCCAAGTCGAGTGGCCCATGTTTGGTTAAAATTCATATAGAGCAGGAGAACCGGCTTCAAATATGAGACAAGAAAAAAGTACAACAGTAAGTTCTGGAAGCCACATTATTATGCAGGCCGCTTGTCGCATATTATTCGATATCCACAACATTTTATAATACGTACAGTAGTATAGGTCGCTAATGGGCCTAACTCCAAAAAGGTATGAATTTTATATTTTAACTGGCATATGTCGGCCTGTCTATGTTTATGCTACTCATTTACAATGCCGATAACAATTTAAACCACTGTAGCTTCTTATCACCAATTCATTTCCAACATTAATCTTTTAAACCAAGAGACGAGACGTCGGTAATTGAAATTAAATAGTATATGATAAACGTTATCGCTAAAGTAACACCAGCGAAATTATATTAAATGTTATCATAATTAATAAATATCACAGTACTCACAGTATATATACACGTTTAGCTTTTAAACGTGCCGCCAAAGGCGAGACAACATTGCGTATAGCTTTGTGTTGAAATCCTCCACACGCTGTTTTTACAGTGCAGAGTATTTTACTTTTTTACACGAAAAGAGTGAAATGTGATTAATACAGACACTCTTGTGGAGTAAAATTCACTATTTTTGCATTTGAAATATTCTTGATCATATTTTTACATTTAGGTCGCCTTACATTTGAGACCCCTCTAATTAAGACACCCCTCTAATTTAAGACCACTTTCAAAGAACCAATCACTCATCTAACATTCTAATTCAGCCCTGATCTAATGAGAGACCAAACCTTAACCCTAACTCTAACCAAGACCACCCCACATTTTCAGGTCCGACAAAAAGGTGGTCTCAAATTTTGAACTGTAATTGAATGTTCTACGATTTGAACAGTATGCCTTTAAATGGTGGTTAGACTATAGCACAAACTCAATAGATCATAATTTGCGTATACTTAGTGTACCGTGTACAATACGTCTGTTTCTGGATTACTAATGTTATTGTTGCAGGCAATGTATTAATGATGAAGCGGCCTCCTTGTAAATAATAATTTCAAGAATAATGATTAATATGTGTTTGACAATGGATTTAATTTTACAATATGGTTATACAACAATAATGATAATATTGATATATTTATACATACATATTTGATAGAAATTTATTACATTATATTATATACTTTTGGTAAATGAACTTTGATAAAAGTGTAACCAAAGTAACAGTAGATGACATTGTTGTTAATTTAAATGAATCGGCTTAATTATATGTTACAATTTTAGGAATATAGACTAATGTTCGTCAATGCGCTGTATTATTAGGAATAGGCCTATGCAGTTGCTAATATTTTCAATAACACTTTGTATTACATCTTGGAACAATATTTAACATAATAAGTACCATCGGTAAATGATCAAATTATAACCAAGGTAAAAATCATGTATTGCTACTAAGTGAA